AGGAGAGAGAGTAGAGTCGAAGGACGACTCCGACGACGACGAGTGAGGTCGCGGCCCCCGTTCGCTCGCCGTCGCCGCTTCCTAAGAATTTCCTCGCTATCGAGAGCCGCTCACGTTTAGCCCTGGTCGCCGGGGCCGGCGAAGGTGAGGACGAAGAGCGGGAGCTGGTGCTCGGGCTTGTTGATGACGACGATCTGCGGCGAGTCCTTCGTGAGGCCCGAGCGGTCGACGAGCACGGCGAAGACGAGCATCTTCTTGCCGCCCCTGCAGTAGGCGACGGAGATGGCGCTGTTCTTCTCGCCGGCGAAGTACTCGCCCGGGCCGTGCGCCTGGCCCGAGCGGCGCCTCGGGTCGAGGCCGTTGCGGAGGATCGCGCCGATGTTCGCCTCGGCCGTGCCGTGGAAGACGAGCTTGACCGTCTGGTCTTGCACGCGCTCCCAGGCGGTGACGAAGCGGTTGTAGAGCGGCTGGCCCGGCCGCGCGTGGCGGTTCTCCTCGACGTGGACGACGCGGAGCCCGCGCGCGTGCGTCGCGAGCCAGGAGCGGATGCCTTTCCGCTGGTCGGCCAACACGTCCAGGAGCCCCTCGGGCGACGGCGCGGTCCAGGACGCGCCCTCGTCCGGCGCGTCGCGGAGCTGGCGCTGGAGCCGCTTCGCGAGCGCGCGGTCGCCGTCGGCCTGCGCCAGGCTCCGCGCGAGCGCCGCGTCGCCTTCCGTCGCCCGCTCGCGCGCCTCGAGCTCGCGCGCGAACTTGGCGTCGCTCTCGAGCTGGGCCTGCTCCCGCGCGTGGTCGCGCCGGATCTCGCTGAGGGACCGCGCGGCGTTTCCGGCGCGCGCCTTGAACCGCTTGAGGTGCTTCTGGATCGCGGCGGGCTCGACGACGACGACGTCGTCGTCGCCGCCGCCGCCGTCGTCGTCGTCCAACGACAGGTCGACGACGAACTCGAACGGCGTGCCCTGCGACAAGTCGATGGGCGACCCGCGGCTCCCGGCCGGCGCCTTTTTCTTCTCCGAGACGCGCGCCCGCTTCGCCGGAGGCCCGAAGTCGTCGCCCGCGAAGTCGTCGCCCGTCAAGTCGACGTCGACGTCGTCCGTCAAGTCGACGTCCGCCGAAGGAGCGGCGTCGTCCGTGAGGTCGACGTCCGCCGCGGGTTTCGCCTTGGGCGGCGTCTTCTTCGCCGTCGCGCGGTAGCGCGTCGCGGGCCGGTCCTCGAGGACCGCGTCCGCCGCCGCGAGGAGCTGGAGGCGCTCCGCGGCCGTGTGGGCGACGAGCACGGCTTCCTCGAGCGGCGACGACTCGAGGGCCGCCGCGAGCGCGCGCACGGACACCTCGAGGAGGCCGCCGAGCGCGCGGCGGCCGCGGAAGATGGAGCTGGAGATCAACGGGAGCGCGACGCTCGTGACGCCCTCGCACCGGGCCGCCTCGCGGATCGCCGCGGCGTAGGTCGCCGCGAGGAGCGCGTCGGACTCGGCCTCGGACATGCCCTTCTCCGAGTAGTCGGGCCCGACCGCGTGGACGACGTAGCGCGCGCGCAGCGAGCCGAAGCCGCGGCCCGCGGACGGGCCCGTGCGCACGGCGTCGCCCGTCGCGCAGCGGTCCCGCGTGCCGGGGAAGGGCCTCGGCAGCGCGCGGCGCGCGTCGGCGAGCTCGCGGCCGCCCGCGCGCGTGATCGCGCCGTCGACGCCGCCGCCGCCCTGGCAGCCGCGGTTCGCCGCGTTGACGACGCAGCCGCCCTCGTACTTGGTGATGTCGCCCTGGCCGACGGAGAGCGACGCGCCGCCCTCGAGCGCGAATGTCGCGACGATCTCGACGCGGCCGCGCGTCGGCGCGGGCGGCAAGGCGGCGTCGGCCGGTGGGCTCGGCGGCGGAGCGGCGGGCGTTTCAGGCCGCGCTTTTGGCGCTGGTTCTGGGGCAGGGCGATCACCGGAATCTTGCTGCCCGAAGCGGCGCAGGCGCGCTTCGCGCATCGCCGCGGAATCGGCCATGCGCTCGCACTACAAGTATGCAAGGCCCATGCGCTCTCAGCCGCGGCAAGGGGATCTTCAAGTATCTGGGGAGGCGACCATGCTGCCCCGAGGCGAGGCGACGGCTATCCGCGGGACCAGTGATGCCCGCTTGAAAAGAGGCCCTCGGGAGCGGCGGCCCCCGGCGCGCGTGGGGCCGCCGCGTTCGTGTCGCGCGGCGCCCATGGGTACGTCGACGGCGTCTGCGCATCAGAGGCAACCTTCGTGCGTTTCCGGCTCCGCGCGCCTCGTCGCGAGATTTTCAATATCGTTCGCCGGGCTGGTCGCCAGCGGCAAAGTGTCGGGGATCGTTGACTTTTCGCGCGTCCGAGCTCGCCCACGACCTGCCCGAGCCTCCGGGGCGAAAATGTCAACGATCCCCGACGATCACGCGTTGGCCCGCGCAGGTCCCTCGGGCACGGACTACGCGCACGCACTGCACAAGGCCATGGCCGCGCTGAAGATCCGCGACTTCATGACGCTCGCGGACTGGGCCACGCGCCTCACGGGCAAGGGCATCAACTGCTCCGCGGACGACATCGCGAAGACGATTTTGAAGCACGCGGTGCTCAAGATGAGCGTGGGCCTCCAGGAGAACATCTTCGGCATCTACGTCGAGACGGTCAGGGAGAAGCGCTACCTCCAGGTCTTGTCGATCGGCCAGCCCCGCGACAATTCGAACTGGCCGCCGAGCGCCCCGCCCGGGCCCGGCAGGAAGCCGTCCGCGGCCGTCATCAAGGCCGCCAACGCCTGGCTCGAGCCGCAGCGCCGACAGAAGCTCGGCTCGTCCGCGAAGCGCATGGCGAGGCACAAGGTGCCGGAGTCGACGCCGCCGTCGACGGACATGGCGCCGCCGCCGTCCGAGGCGGGCGCGGGCGACTCGTCGTCGGGGCCGCAGTCGATGGACATCGAGCCCGCGCCGACGTCTTCGTCGCTGCCGCCCTGGGTCTCGGACATGGTCACGGGCGAGTTCGTGAAGCGCCTCACGGCCAAGGGCATCGCGATCTTCAACCGCTTCGGCGACGACGACGAGTCCGTCGTCGTCGTAGTACGCGCAGCGCCCGCGACCACGCTCGAGGTCTCCGTGACGGCGACGGTCTTGGGCTTCGACTACAACTGCGCCGAGGAGAAGCAGGCCGACGCGCCGACGCCGACGCCCATGGACAAGCTCCAGCTCGTCGGCTTGCTCCTGAAGCTGAGCCGGCGGCTCTGCGTGGGCGTCGGCGAGCTCGACGTTCCCGAGAAGGCGAGGGGCGAGTTCTCCAAGGCAATAACGAAAGCAGCGCGGCGAGCTACAGATGACACTGTCGCGGCGGCGTCGGGCTCAATTGTTATCGGGCGGCGACCGGCGCGCGGCGGCGTCAAGGACGGCGCCTACTTGGTCCGGCTCCGCGGCGCCGTCGAGGCCGCGGGCGAGGGAGCGCGCTTCCTCTGCCCCGGCTGCGAGCTCGTGGACGTGAACCAGGCGTGGAACCGCCGGGGGCAGTCGATCATCATCTGCCCGACGTGCCTGGCCTCCGTCGACTCGTTCCGCCGCTCGGCGACGCAGGCGGCCGCGGCGCCGAGCCAGGCGCCGAAGGGGCGCCACGACCTCATCGCGTCCCAGGGGCCCGCAGTCATCACGTCCGTGCTGAAGGCGAAGCAGTCGCGGATCAAGGTCGCCAACTGGCGGAACCAGCGGCTCGCGAAGAGCAAGGCGCGTCTCCAGAACGCGGAGTACGGCGAGCGCTTCGGGAGCATCTTGGAGGCCCTGCAGAAGAGCGACGGCTGGGAGACGTGCTTTCCGACGGGGTCCGTGAAGCGGATCATCTGGGACGACCAGATGCAGAACTGGAAGAAGAAGGCCGAGGGCAAATCGTCGCGGGCCTTCCGCTACCACCCCGTGACCATCAAGTGGGCCTTGCGGCGCCTCATCAAGGACGGGGAGACGTCCTACAACGAGACCCGCGACGTCTGGTCCGGCGCCCGCGAGTTCTCGCCCTCCCTGAGGCAGCCCGACTCGACGATGAGCATCGTCTCCGTAGGTCATGGCCATCCCCTGCGCGCGCTACCTACGGGAGTTCAAGAACGCCTTCAGCGACAAGGAGGGCATCCAGGTCGACGTCCTCAAGGCGACGAAGGCGCACTGCGACCGCAACGGGCTCTCCGAGGGGGACCGGCTGACCGTGATGTCGCACGACGGGCTCAAGGTCCAGGAGGGCATCGTCTCCAACGTCTTCACGGGGGAGATCGTCGGCTACGTGAGCGAGGAGCTCGACACCTACGACCACATCGCCCTCCAGCTCGAGGCCCTCGAGGCCGACGAGGCCACGGACGCGGGCGCGACGGCCGCGGCGGACGCCCGGAAGGCGACGATGCCCAAGGCGGCGCAGTACTGGACGGAGTTCTTCGCCACCTCCGTCACCTGCGGCGATTTCCAGTTCTCCTTCTACCGCGTGGCGTCGACGGACCTCAAGGCGGCGGACATCGCGCCCATGGTGACGCAGGCACTGACGGCGCTGCACGCGTACGGCTTCACGGTCGTCGCCGATTTCTGCGACAAGGCCTCGGAGCACATGGCCTACATCGCCGCCTGCGCGACGGTCACCGTCGCCGACGTCAAGGAGATGCAGGACGGCGAGAACTGGCAGGCCTTCTACGACGACGTGGACGTGGGCCACGACCAGCCCGTCGCGATCCTCCACCCGGTCACGGACGAGCCCGTCTTCATCGTCACGGACCCGCCGCACCTCATCAAGACGCTCTACAACGCGCTGAGCAAGTCCGGCACGGACGCCGACGGCATACGCGCTACGCGATACCTCAAAAAGTTCAACTCCAACTACAACACGGAGGATACTTTGGGTCTGAAAGTGCTCTACGACGTCTGGAAAAGGCGCAACGAGGGCGGCCCCGCGCTGGGCGTCACGGGGGACAAGCTCGACAAGGACCATTTCTTTCCGACGGCTCATTCTCGGATGCGCGTCGCGCCGGCGGCACGCGTGCTGTCGGGGACGATGGCGCGGTACCTCAAGGAGGACACGCACCAGTGCAAGAACGACGGGCTCATCGACTACTGCAACCTTAACAACGAGTTCTTCGACGTGATGAACGGGAAGAGCGGCGTGATCCAGGGGCCCGACGACAAAAAGTTGGCCTTCCTCGAGCGCTACGTGCGGTTCTACGAGGACTGGAACACGGAGAACCATGACCGCGGCGCCGGCGCGGACGCCTTCATCCCCGCGCAGACGTTCCGGGGCGTCCAGACCATCCGGGGCTTCATCTGGGCCGCGAAGTACTACCTGGCGAAGTACCCCGGCAAGGTCTTCCTCCCCGGCCGCTGCTCGCAGGACGTGTGTGAGCACCACTTCAGGAACGTCAGGGGCGCCTCGGGCGACAAGAAGAACCCATCGATCCAGGATTGTCGCCGCGCCGCGCGCACCGCGACCGTGATCCGCCTCTACCGCGACAAGAAATCCAACTCGGGCGGCGCGCCCGTCGACCTCCGCGCGGTGCTCCTAAAGCGCGACGACGCGGCGCGGAAGAAGCGCCCCCGGCGCCCCCGGGCCGAACCCGCGGCCCCCAGCGACGCGCCGCACGCCCCCGCCGCCGAGGCCGTCGAGGACGACGACGACGCGGCCCTCGAGGCCATCATGGACGCCTTCGAGAAGACCCAGTGCGACGAAGACCCGGCGACCTACGATCGTTACGCGGACGACGCCGAGGTTAGCGCGTAATTTGGCGGTGGTTTGCAGATCTTAAGCTCCCTTAGATCTGCGACTCGATGCCGCATTCGCCGACGTGACTGCGAGAGCCGTCCGGAGCGGCGCCTTCCCGGCGGTAGCGTCGAGGCGGCGATGCTCTTCGTGGGCTCGGTTCAGGCTGAGCGCCGTGTCCTTGCGGCGGACCTTGTCATAGGCGTCGAGCATGGTCTTATAGACGACCATGGGAAACGCGTCCTGGTTGTCGGGCCTAAGGAGCGGGAGGACCTCGCTCGCGAAGGCCTCGTAGATCTTCGGGTCCTGGGCGATGACGACGCCGATGCGGCGCAGGAGGCCGGAGCCGTAGGCGTCGAAGTGGTCCGTCGACATGTTGTGGAGGTAGATCGTTTCGAGCTTGCACACGTAGTCGTAGATGGGGCGCGCCGCGTAGCACAACGAGCCCATGTCCTTGTGCTTGACCTTGCCGAGCGGCATCTTCTGCTGGCTCGCCTCCGCCTCGCCCAGGTTCATGCGGTTCGTGAAGTCCTCGGCCCACGCGGATATCGACTCGCCGCTGCGGTCGACGAACGTCTTCATGACCTTCGACACCAGGAACCCCGCGATGTAGTACAATGATTCCTTCTGGGCCGTCGAGAAGGTCGTCGAGGTCGTCGGCATCTCGAGGGGCGGCGCCTTCCTCGGCTTCAGCTCCGCGCGGTAGGCCTCGTAGAGCAACCCCTCGAGGACGACGGCCACCGTCGGGTCGAGCCAGAGCGCGCCGACCTCGTCGACCAGCGCGCGGCGGAAGCGGCGCATCCGCTTCTCCCGGGCGACGTAGAAGGCCAAGGCCGCGTCGTTTCCGGAGCCCGCGGCCCACGCGACGGACGACTCGTACGCCCAGCTCCGGAGCAGCTCCAAACACAGCTTCCGGGTCGACGCGTTGTCCTTCAGGTCCATGAACTCCTTGCGGAACGAGGGGCGCGCGTCGAGGAGGTCGCTGTTCCGCGAGAAGGCGTCGTCCATGATCTTCTCCCCGTCGCCGATGACGTCCACGACGGCCTTTTCGTAGCGCTGCCGCTGCAACTCGTCGCGCTTCCCGACGCCCCGGCCCGTGATCTGCATCTCGTATCTGTTGAACTGGTGCTTCAGCTGCGCCGAGGAGATGCCGATCTTCGTGCACTCCTCGACGATGTCCCGCGCAGTCCGATGGTTTGAGGGGAAGACGCCGCTCCAGGTCTCGTACTTCGCCCGGATGAAGGCGATGGCTTCCTCGGCCTGGTCCTT